GCACTTCAACATGACCTTCGATGCCAACGCGTACGTGCTCATGTCGATTTCAACTGTACGGTAACTAACCACGAATAGATACGGTGACGGTCCAGTCAAAGTATCCATACCCAACTACCAATACGAAGACTACGTCGACATCATGGGATCGTTCGTATCCAGAACCGACATCCCTCACTCACCCGAAGGTCTCACTAGACCCATCGGAACGTTCTGGACGCCGAATTCCATTGACAATTCCACCAAGCAGCGGAGCCATGCTCGCAGAGCCTACTACGATCCAGTTCAAACAAGAAGCAACTTGCATCTTATGACCAATACCCACGTCGATGAGATCTTGTTCAAAAACAGCACTACGCTCGTAGCAAGCGGCGTCAAGTATACATCGAACGCCGAATCCTTGAAGGCATCTGTCTTTGCGAAGAAAGAAGTCATACTTGCAGCCGGAGGCGTGTTTACACCGCATCTGCTCATGCTGTCAGGCATCGGTCCAAAGGATGAACTGTCTGCTGCTGGGATTGCTGTGAAGAAAGACCTTCCGGCTGTTGGCTCGAACTTCCAGGATCATCAAGCCTTGTACATGCGCTTCAACCTCTCGAACCAGTCCATTCCCAATCCCGACATGCTTGTCACAATACCTGATCCAGTCTTCAACGCCACAGCTGCCGAGTTGTACGAAGCTAACCGTACGGGTCCATGGACCTTTGGACGCGGCAATGCCGCACTCTTTCTCGCATTCAAGGATTTCTCGGACAAGTACGCCGACATAACCGCCCTCATCTCTGAGCAAGATGCCACCACCTACCTACCACAACGCTATTCGAAGATCGATACCTTGCTGAAGGGATTCATGGCACAGCGCAAGATTCTCATCGAGCATTACCTTTCCGACGATGCGGCTACAGGTGAATACCCGATCCAACCCTGGGGTCGGGCAACTACCGCAGTGCAGAAACCTCTCTCGCGCGGTATGCTGACCCTTAACACCACGCACCCATCTGCAAATCCGATCGTTGTCCGGAACGCATTCCAGAACCCAGTCGATAAATTAGTACTTGGCGAGCTCGTGCGCTGGAACAGAAAGCATTGGACCACCGCACCCCTGCTGCAGCGCTATGCGCCTGTCGAAACCGTGCCGGGCGCACAATATCAGACCGACGACGAGATCTTTGACGCGAGCATCAAGGCTGCTGCTTTAGATCCGACGTATGCGCATTCGAGCGGCGCATGTGCGCTGATGCCAGAAGAGTTGGGTGGATGTGTGGATCCGCAGTTGAGAGTCTATGGTGTAGAAGGATTGAGGGTGGTGGACGCGAGTATTCTTCCGTTGATACCAGCGGCGCACTTGCAGGCAACGATGTATGCTGTTGCGGAGAAGGCTGCGGATATCATCAAAGGAGTCTGATCAAGATGGCCCTAGAAGAACAAGGGAGTGAGGATCAACGCCGGAGCTCTAAGTCTTGCTTTCACCGATGCGCTGCGACGTGTAGAGATTAATGCAAGTTCGACGGTTTTCGAAGACAAATTCGTCGCACTCGAGATCTGGCAAGTAGGATATGAAGAATGAGATGCCCTGACCATTTATGTTAGCGGACGAATGTCCAAGGTTGCTCTTGAACAAGCTTCCTCGCGCCCTAGGCATCCTTAGTAATAGCCATCCAAGAGGGATATACCGCTAACTGTATGTGGTATAGTGCGATGCAAACTTAGAGTGAAAATGTTTCCGACCCTCTGGTTTCCCCCGCACCACCAATCCGCTACGAGCAAAATGACGTGCTCCGTGGCAAGTTGTGCGAAATGCGCCAGAACTGTAATGATCGCTGACTCGCCTGCGAATTATGGGTAACGTGCTCGTGCTCAGTCGAGAAGTAAGCTTCGCCATGAAAAGCTTCCATGCGCCAGCTCTGAGATTCAGCTCTTACATCGCATCGCATTACCGCGGTAGACCTCGCTCCAACTATGACGACCACCGACCCCGAGAAAGATCCTCATGATGTCGCGGCGGCATCGCCCGAATCCCTGGACCGGATGCCATCTCATCTCGTCAACGAAGATCGCCTTCGACGCTCCCTCAGTGCCCGGCAGGTACAGATGATAGCCATCGGAGGCACGATCGGTACTGGACTCTTTCTCGGAACTGGTAAAGCTCTTGCAACTGGCGGACCAGCTTCGCTACTCATCTGCTACTCGATCGTCGGCTTCATCGTCTTCTGCACCATGCTATCTCTTGGCGAAATGGCTGCCTTTGTCCCTGTCGCCGGCTCCTTCTGCACATTCGCCGGTCGCTACGTGGACGATGCGTTTGGCTTTGCGCTGACTTGGAACTACTGGTTCAACGATGCTGTCAGTACGGCGGCAGATCTGGTCGCTTTGCAGCTGTTGATCCAATACTGGAGCGATAGTGTTCCATGGTATGCTGTTGGCATAGCCGTATGGGTGCTTATCGTGTTGGCGAATATCATCAACGTCAAGGCTTACGGCGAGCTGGAGTATTGGCTTAGTCTTCTAAAGGTGGTGACCATCGTCATCTTCGTTATCCTGAGCATCGCAGTCAATGCTGGTGCCAACACCGACCATGGATATATTGGAGGCAAGTTCTGGACTGCTGGAGATGCGCCATTCGTGGGTGGTATTGGAGGCTTCGCATCCGTTTTCGTGACTGCATCGTTCGCCTACGGTGGAACTGAGTCTATCGCAATCACGGCCGGAGAGACGCGCGATCCAGCTCGCGTGCTTCCAAAGGTCGTGAAGAACGTCTTTTGGCGCATCTTGCTCTTTTACATCCTTACGGCTATCATGATTGGATTCAACATACCGTACGATTATCCCGGTCTCTCGACGAAGTCATCGCGCACATCGCCGTTCACCATCGCATTCCAAATGGCCGGATCTAAAGCGGCTGGATCATTCGTCAACGCAGTAGTCCTCACCAGTGTCATATCTGCAGGCAACCACGCCCTCTACGCCGGCTCCCGCCTGCTCTACACACTCGGAGCGAATGGACATGCGCCTAAGGTCTTCACAAAGCTGACGCGATACCAAGTTCCGTGGATCGCCGTTTTGACGACGAGCTTGATATCCATTATACTTTTCTCCCTTTCTTTCGTCGGATCGGGCCAGCTATGGACATGGCTGCAGAACATCGTAGGTGTTTCGAACCAACTGAGTTGGATATGCATCGGCATCTCTTCGCTGCGTTTCCGCGCAGGTCTCAAAGCCCAAGGAAAGGAACACCTGCTACCCTTCCGAAACTGGATGTACCCTTGGGGCCCTTACATCTGCGTTTTCCTAAACATCTTTATTGTGCTAGTTCAGGGATGGTCGTCATTCAGCCCTAAGTTTGCCGCCGTGGATTTCGTTAGCTTCTACCTGGAGCTACCTATCTTCCTATTGATGATTGTCGGCTGGAAACTTCTGAAGAAGACCAAGTTTAGGAAAGCGAGCGAAATGGATCTTGAGACCGATGTCTATACCAAAGAAGATATGGAGCCGGTTGATAAGGGATGGAAAGGAAGGAGCAAGAGAATTGGCACCTGGTTTTGCTTTTGAGAACCCACCTTGCGCGCCAGTATTATATTGGACCTGGCGTCTTGGCTATGCAATACATACATACGAAGAAGCATTCCTATCTGCCCAAACTCCTGAGGATGCACCCAAAGGCGTTCTCTGTATCTCATGTTCATGCGCTAACAAGACGAGTGCTAGCGAACGTATTCTGACTGAGTATCCCTCCTACATACGGACGCACCGCTGCGTTACAGGCAGGTGCACTACCAACTCGATAAAATGTGGAGGAGCGTGCGAGTAAGGTTTCATATGTTATCGAAAGCTTCTTACAGTGTATGCCTCGGCTGGCGCGTAGCCAGCAAACTGAAGGATATTCCAGTATCCGCAGCGATTCGGGGGCCGAAGGGATGAGCTCAGGGACACGGGCTGTACCTGCATCAGCTCGACATTGAAATGTCCAAGTGTCGCAAGGCATCGCTGCGCAATTTCACAGAGGGACGACTGCCCTGCAGCCCTATACCGACCGGCGAGTTTTGACCGCGCATTGAGATCTCTATCGCAACGAATTCCAGATCGCTGCATGCAGGATCCAGGTTTAGGAGGCTCCCAGCCCAGCCACGACTGAACGCCTGCTTGGCGGGCGCCAACCATGCCACGACTGGACTAAGTCGCACTTTATCCGCCTCTCAAACCCCCGGCCCAACGCTGCCCGTGCTCAAAGGCTACGCCCCGCATATCCCCTAAACCTCAATCGTGTTTCTGCGCCTCGTGCACCCACTCACAGCCGTCGAACACGACCAGGATGTCGTGATAGTCGGGCGTACTTGAAATGACACGATGGTTGGGGTCCAAAAGACAAAACCCACTTTGCGACGAGGTCGCGGACCTTGAGAGCGTCTCTGTCGCTCTTCTTCCACCGACGTGAGCAGTGCATGTCCTGGGTGCTCTGTGCCATACGACCCTCTCCATATATCGCCATGTTTTCTTTCCTCTTGCGAATGGTATCTATCAATGTCGCTGCTGCGGCACTGATACATGCCCCAATGCCTGCACCAACAGCTCCTGCAATGCTCCCAAGGCAAGGTCCTGCAAATGGCATCGTGGTTATGGGATACGAGCTCATCGGCACGCAAGATAATAAGCCAGTCTGTAAGTGCACTGGCATGCATGCTCGATCTCGAGATGCGCTTATCTGACCTGGAAATAGGGTCGATCAAGACTTTCCCTCAATCCGACGGCTACCTCTTTACAACAGGCAGCCTGTATCAATCGTGCAAAGCGTCATCCGCTTTCGAAGTTGATGGAATTACCACGACTTCTCCTTTACCGAAGACAGGTTGTGAGGCATGGACAAGCTGCTCACATACAACGGTGTACGGGTCTGGAGGTGTAACTAGTACCTGGTAAGTTGAGCTGTATGTATTGCGCGTAGACTCCGCCATGTTAACCAGCTGAACAGCGACGGAGACTATGGGCTTTGCTACTCGGACATTATGTTCACCACCTTTGGCGCTTCCGACGCGTACACGCGTATTTACTGCGATTGGACAGGCAGCCATCCGTTGATGTCGACGACACTCTACCAAGCGCTTCCGGCCAATGGTACGTGACATTGCGCAAATGCTATATTTGACTTATTACTAATGTGTTGTAGTGGACTCAACGTCAGTCGCGTCCCAACAGGCAGCCTCCAGTATACCTGCATCGAATAGCAACCCGTCCATCTCGGCACCTACCCCGTCCCCAACGTCGAGCCCGGCCGGCGAGCAGGATCAACCCGCTGGCGGTAGCAGTCGTTTAAACAACACATCCGTGATCGCTGGAAGCGTCGTCGGGGGGCTTGCGGTCATCGCATTCGCCGGTGTCGCCATCTTATACATCCTCAAGCGCTCCAAGCGCCACTCCGCTGGTACTTCTGTCCCATCGAGCGACGGTGATTCTATCAATCCGTATGGCACGCCGGAGATGACCAGGAACGGATATCCTGATGCGCAAGCGTATACGCACACGGCGACAAAATACGGACACACCATAAATGGAGGCGAACTTGATGGGCAGCATGGCACCGCCGAATTGGGTGGCGTCTTGGTCCACGAAGTAGAGGGCCGTCGATGAAGATGGAAAGCAGGGAGAAGCGCAGAATAGGCCACAAAAGTGGCCAAGGGGGCAGCGGTGTAGTATTGTATGCAACTGCCTTGGCAGTAATGCATCGTCTGGTCGGCTGACGTACCGCTGCTAGCTGTCAACCCAAACCATAGGGGTAAGACGTTCAGCCAATGCCTCGAGACGAAGTGGCCCCATGGCGATGAATGACAGCGCACCCACCGATCACACGAAGCATGCAACCCTTACTTTGAGTCTATGTTCGACAGTCAGCAAGGCAGCATCTGCGCAGTGCCACTAAAACTGGCCCTACTGACCCCGAGTCAGCGCCCTGAAGTGGCAGTGCTGCTGCGCTTATGTAGGCCTCGATCTGGTCCCCGCAAATCAAAGCGGTGCTGACATGATCCGGCAATTTAGCCGCTCCATAGGCCAGCCTGCTCACCACATCAACACCAACAAATGTAGATGCTGCGCATACAGCTGACATGAATCAGATTCTGTCAAGTTGCTGTGGTTCTTTTCGTACATGCGCTACACGATAGGGGGCTGTAGTCCTTCATTTCCTGCAATGGTTCCCATCGACGTATATCTCACAGTATGATAGGGTACAGCCACGGACATACGTCTCTACCGAGGTCTGGCCGAACGCAGGTCTTTGAGACTGTGGGTAGTCGGTGATGCTAGCATTCAATACGAAGTAATTCTAGGGGCTTAATTTCTTCGAGACTGTGGGATCCTCTCATACTTGGACTTCGCTTTCTTTTCTTCATCGCGAACGCCCATTTCTGCCTCCTTCGACATTCACAGCGCCAACACCAAGATGCCTTGTTCCAGCCTATCTCATCGCATACTCTTCATAAGCTCCATCCTACTCTTGATCGCATCCATTGGCACCCTCGGTCTCACTGGTCACGCGAAATGGCTTTTGGTTCAATACTTCCCCGCTGACGCTTGGTACATCTGGAGAGGAACAGATGGAACATATGACGAGCAGCAGACGACTCAGCAGTGGATAGCTGTGGACTACAACGAAACATATGATAGACTAGCCGTTACGAGAGCGGTGTTGGGCGTCGTGGCAAGTGTACTGAGTATCTGGATCATGCGGGCGAAGCCCAGAGCTGTAATGGAAGAAGATACACAGGTACTATCCTTCGTGGTGGCTGTATCTTCATCAGGGCTTACAACGCATCCAGAACTCGCAACATCCCTTCAGAGGCAATACTGTTTATAACACGACTGTGGTACTCGCAGTTACGTCGTTCGCCAGTACACTTGCATCCGCGATTTGGTCCTCGATCCTGCATTACCAATCATCCAAGCGTTGCCAGATACCGGCAGTGTTGACGAAGTACAACAACGAGTTCACGTGCACGCGTGAGCTAGCGACCTGCGTCATGTTACCTGTCATACGGAAAACGGATGATGCGGCAAGGAGCATGGCTTGTGTGGAGACTGTAAGACTAAATCAAGAAAACGGATTGGAAGACCGGATGCTGACGGTTGCGATGCATAGAAAACTGTTCGGTGGCTGCTAGTCCCCATGCTCGTATTGGGTTTGGCATTAGTGGTGGGATATGCTGTGCAGATCTGGTACCTGAGAAGACGAGCAGCTCTCGAGCGGAGAGCTGAGGATAAGGTTGTTGTGCTGGAAAAAGCTGACTAGCTAGCCAAGGTGTGATGATATCAGCTGGCTCAAGACATTGCTATGCAACGTTTCCAGCAAACATCTTGCTTAGTATAAACTACATCGTGGATCCCAAGCAGAATCATCTTCAGTATGGATCTCACTCAACTTCCCACTGAGGTCTTCGAGATGAGCCTTGCGATGTTGCCCATCAAGGATCTGCTGCGCTGCGAGCGCGTCTCAAAGGCTTGGTGTGACCTGATCAGGGACGGACAAAACACCTCAGAGACTTTATTCCGATACAGCAAGTCTACAAAAAAGCAAAAGAGACCAAGCAAAAGAAAGCGCTTCATAGAGAGGACGTGGAACACACATCGTGCTAACCATCCCACCAAGACGGAAGCACTCGCCAACTGCATCGTGCATCCTCTCCTGAGTCGGTTCATCGGGCTACCAAGATTCTGCTCCATCGCCTCTTTCGACAGCCCCAATCTTCCTTATGTCGACCGCTGGAGCCTTCTTGGTACTGTGAACAGCCGGAACAGATGGCCCAATCCTACCGCATCATGGCGAACGATGTTCATGACCTGGCCTCCGCTCACAGAGATCAAGTTTCACGTTAGCTACAGACTACACGACGGCCGACCGTACCAGCGAGAAACCAAAATCAATAAGATTTATGAACCTGAAGGTATCACCCTGAATCATTTCTTCTACGCGCTTTCAAGTTCTGCAAAGCGGAAGCCCTGCCCCCCTAGTAAGTCGATGATGGCATGGACTCGCGAGTGGCCAGAGTACTGGGTTACAACCATGTACAGAGGTGTGACATTTCAAATTATTCCTGCTATTGGTATGGAAGTTGACGAGCTGGAGAGCACTGAAGGAGAGGCATGATTGCTGTGGACGATGGATGCATTGAGGGCTTATCATCTGCCATTCTGTGGGTACAATCATAACATACAAAGAGTCTGTATTACAATTATTGCGTGAAATAAGATCTACGACTAGATCATGCCATCTGCCCCCTCACTGCACCAGGTAGCGCCAAGCTCGAATGGGTGTCCGCCATGAAAGCCGCCGGGTTGGCTTCGATCATGCTAACATGGAAGCCCTCGCCCGAATCCTTTCCTTCAACCATTACACCAGTCGTAAATGGGCCCTTGATACAGCCTGCGCTGTTCCTAACTGTCTCGCTTCCTTCTACCAGCTCCGGGTTGGGGAATGAGATTCTAGGTGGTCCACTAGCACCGCGCGCGGCCTCGTGGATGTGCGTCGCCGTAGTCGCGGGGGAGTCGAATTCGCCTTGGAAGTTGTGCAGCGTGATGTTGTAGCAGATCATGTTGGAGGCGCTGTTGATGCCAAAGTTGAAGGTGCCGGATGCGCCGGCGAGACCACCGGTTGGTTCGGTGCCGTTGACGACCTCCTCCGGGACAGCATGAACGAAGTGCGTTGAGGAGAAAGCGAACAGTTGCTGAGCATCGATAGCGTTGGCTGCGACAGCGTCTTTACCGGTCAGGTCGATGTTGATCTGTAGCTGCATGTGACCATTGCCAATGTCGAGAGGTGATGCTGCGACTGGAGCGGCGGTTGCGCTCAGCGCCAGGCTTGCAATGGTGACGAATGCGGCGGTATACATTATGATATAATGAGATGTAGAAAAACGTGTATGGTAAAAAGGTGTGCGGTAAATGTCTTGTCAAAAGAACGTGTTGAAGAGAAGCGAAAGAAGCGAAGGGATGAATGAGTGTGGTTGAAGAAGGACTGGTCAACAGCGAATTATTCCTACGGAGCCTCACATTGCGCTACTTCCATCTGGTTATATACTCACTCAATGTGGTGATACAGCGTACGTGGATGCCTTAGTACCAAGGCTTGGTTTTGGCCTGGAACTTTGTTGTGCCGATATTTGAGGCATCTTTGTAACGCGTGCTGAGTTTCGCGCACCTTGGCCAACACCAACAGCCGACTCGGCGCCTTGGAAGCATCAGGCCTCAAAGCATGCTGTATACACTTAGCTCAAATGAATGATCGAGTTACGAAGTGTACATCCCGAATTAGCATGAGCATGGGTGAGAAAGTTGATGAGCTCAAGGTACGCATGGCTAATTCGTCGCGGGTCTTTGTCCGCCAAGAGCGCAAAACATACGATGAGGCTGTCTTGGACAAAAGCGAAGCGCATCCTGACTGGTTCAGATGTCTATTCTCGTAGCAATCTTCTCGCCATCTGTTACTCGTGATCTGCTGTTGCTCGGATTCCATGACGTCCGGAAGGTAGGGCACGCTTGAAAGGCCGTTCGAGTAGGTTATTATCTGTACGGCTTCGTGAACAGCATGCCGAGAATAGGTCGGCTATCGCAACGCTACCGATAGGAGCAAATTGTCTGACATGCTGTTTTTTGTCAAGCTGTTCATGGTCTTTAAGGGCTGCCCAGATGAGATTGGTTCTTCGAGACACGGGCGCGTGCTGTTGAAGACGAGAGGATTAGAGGACACGGCGACGCTGCAGCAGCCTCGAAGCCAGACAGCGGTCTAGGGCTCATTAAAGGACTTAATTGACATACATTTCGAAGATGGTGTTCTGACTGTGCGTACTGGTGGTGATTGGAGTGTGGATGGACTGGGAGCAGTCATGACGCCACTGGTGGTCATAGCTCCTCCCGCGATTGGCTCGAGCCACTGATGAGGAGACCTCTGACCGTCTCGTCGCATTTCAATGCTCGCGCATCGCGAATACACGCCCTCAGCATCTGAGCGTCGTTTCAAAGACAGAAGGCTCCGGCTTCTTCGATCGTATGTCTTCCCGGCGCGATTGTACGCCCGCGAAGGGGTTCGGTGAATGACGGTCGGTTTCAGCCACTATCCGACTCCAGTTTCATGATTCTCTTGGATCTGGACTTCTCTACTTCTCGCCATATTCAGCTATTAATTTGTGTCCTTCACGATACTTCACTACGTTGCACAACAACCTCCCCCCGCGCAGAGATTACGCAAAGATAAGAGAGGGAAGGGATGTGAGACTTTTCGACGCGGGTGTCAACATCAAAAGGAACATTGCTTGACTGGTCATTAGGTCTTGTTGATGTTCATTAAGTACGTATTAATACACTATATAAGGTGAAGTAGTTATTGGTATCATATAGCAGTCATCCTCTCACGCCCAACTAAATTCCAGCACCCGCACCCGGGAACTTGGCAAGCAAAGACTTGTCGTACTTGGCAAGATCAGGGCAGCCAAGCTTCGCAAGGATAGGATTCAGGGCATCGGTCAACTTCTGCACAGCAAGCAGAACATTACCGAGAAGGCCCTTCAAGATATCCGGGCTGGCGGAGTTGACAGCCTGGAATGCGAAGCACATGAGATTGTTGTCTTCGAGCAGGGTCTCGG